TGGTCGATTGTAATTCTACATTATAGAGAGATTGTTGATTGTTGATTGATTTCAGCAATAATAAAAACACTGAAGGTTTAGCGTAGATGGATTGTTTATAAGGATAGTGATACAATTATATTATCTTTTTCTATTAAGGAAACTCAAAGTATTTAAACTAGAAATATCTCATCAAAACACAAAATTCCCTATCTAATGCATTCAACCTATAATCATCTAAATCTCTAGATGCATTAAACGAATTTAAAAAAATCTTAATATATTTTTGTGAATCACAATTCATTTTAATCCCATAACAACAAAATGTCAATTTTCATTATTAGATTTGAATAACACTTTACAATAAACGATTTACAATTTATCAAAATTCTTCAACTAATATATGGTTGATATGGCAGATTTAAAGGTATTCGGCGATTCTACTTTTTTCTATTGATAGAGACGGTATATTACTTTTTTGGGAAAAACCCCTCAAAATTCCTGAACTTGTAATTTGGTTTAATATAAATTCCTGAACTTGTAGAGGTGCCTATTAATTCCCAAACTTGCAAAATTGAACATGATAATTACTGAACTTGTTAAACCGTTCCATATCTGTCCTCAGCATTAATTTATCAAACAAATGCGTTGACCTATCCGACATGCGTATGATCTGTCAAGCCAGGTCATAAAATTTGTGCCACATGTACAATTCCTGGTTTTTCGAGAAATCGTGTTTAATTGGCCAGATTTTTTCAATAAACTGGGTTTATTGGAACCGAATCAGATTTCTTCCAGATTTTCATTTGACCTCACAAATCTGTCGCCTCCCAACCTCTTCGTCGACTCGCCGTCTCCAGCCGCCGCCTTGGGTTCGGACTCCAAAAGAGTTTCAGATTCTTTGGCCAAAAACAACAATCTCCGGCCAAATGCAGCTTAAAGATGAATTTCGAGGATCTCCGAGAAATGAAATGGGGAATCTCGCGAGGCGTCAACAAAACAAGAACAGGAAGATTCTGATTTCACGTTCGATTTCGCGGTCGGGTCACCATCGTGGGTCAGGTCGAAACGGTCCGAGATGTTTACGGCGGACGAGTTGTTCTTCAAAGGCCGTATCTTACCGTCGTGGGTCAAGTCGAAAAGGTTCGATTACACCACTCAATGAGCCTGGACGCCGGGTCAACTGGAGATCCGACCCGGTTTCTGTCGAGATCGGAATCGGTGGATTTCCGGCGAGTCGGCTCGTTTGCCAGCGGAAGAAGCAGCAGCTGCCACAACCATTACTCTTCCACCACCACCACCACTGGCAACGACGATGGTGGATCTGACCGGAAAACGAAAATTAATTTCACAAAAATAATTTGTGGCACTGTAAGAGCACTCGACGGCGGCTCCCTTCAAATTCCCAGAAATTTTTTTTCCCACTTCATTTATGCTTTTTTTTTGTTAATATCATATTTTTCATAAAAAATGTTTACTAATTTACCCATGTTTTGAGTGTGCAGTATCGGTTCGATCTGTTTGTGTGTTAAAATTTGAAACAGTTTTGAGTGTACAGTACCGGTAATTGCACACGCGGCACAAATTTTCTGAGCTGGCACGACAGATCATGCGCCACGTAAGATAGGTCAATGCGTTTGTTTGACAAATTAATGTTGAGGACAGATATGGAACAGTTTAACAAGTTCAGTAATTATCATGTTCAATTTTGCAAGTTCGGGAATTAATAGGCACCTCTACAAGTTCAGGAATTTATATTAAACCAAATTACAAGTTCAGGAATTTTGAGGGTTTTTTCCCTACTTTTTTTGGATAAAAAAAGACGATATATTACTTATCTTTAACTTTATTCATACTTCAAACAATTTTAGTCTTCTATTCCAAAGTTATGTTGTTTTATTTAGAAAAAAATACCTGAAAATTCTTGATCTTATAATTTGGTGTAATATTAATTCATAAACTTGTAGATGAGCCTATTTATTCCCCAACTTGTATTTTTAACACAGTAATTCCTAAATTTACTTAACAGTTCCATAATCGTCCATACTACTAATTGACCAAAGTAAAGTTTAGGAATTACTGTGTTTAAAAATACGAGTTTAGGAATTACTGTGTCCAAAAATGCAAGTTCATGAATTACTGTGTTCAAAAATGCAAGTTCGGGAATAAATAGATATACCTAAAAATAAAAAAATTAATATTAATCCAAATTATAAGTTCATGAATTTCCATGTATTTTTTCCTTTTATTTATTAAGTTCAAATATATACATGCAAAAATAGAGAACCGAATCGAAGACATGCATTGATTGTTTCAATACATCACCAGGAATATCCCAACCTTTCATTGACGAGATTTATCAAAGTTCAAAGATGTCAAAATTACTTAAAACAACGTTAAAATCAATCTTGAAATGATAATACAATAAAAAAAAACTCAATATTTTTATTGTATTTGGTAAAATCTATAAACACCAAATTTTATTCTTATAAATATAGTATTATCCATTTTCAAATAACTTTGTTTAACTTTATTTTAGTTTTAACTCTTTCCTCGCAAATGTATTTTCATTTTAAAAAATATATAGAAAAAATTGATATATTATATATAAATACGCATACATAAACATAATACACATACATTCATATATTATATATACACATACATACATATATATATACATACATATTTTATATATACAATACAGATTCATATACATATACACACACATTCCACATACAAATACATATAAACACACATATACAGGGGTGGACCGTCATACAAACGAGTGGTCTCATGTCTACACAGATATATTTAAAAAAAATAATTTAGTTATAAACTTTTATAAATTTTAATAAAGAAACAAATGGGATCCGTCAAATTTTTAATATGGCCTCCATTCTATTTTCTTTAAATTTTTTTCCTTCAACGTGAACCCCATTTTTTACTTTCTTTCTATTTATTTTTTTAGGTTACGCCGCCGTAAAAAATTTTATAGTTTTTATATCTATTTTTGTAATTTTATTATCCCCAATGAAAAAATTTCCTTGGTCCGCCACTACACATACATATACACATACATACATAAACACATACACACACATACATACACATATATATTTACATTCACATACATATACAACACATACATACATATACATATTCACATATATGTACACACATACACATTATACGTATATTCATGCACATATAAACACATTCATACACATACATATACACACAATCCATATATATACATATATACATATTCACACTCATATATATATATACACGATATATACACATACATTAAAAAATTTTGGAGGAAAACAACTATTAGCGACAATTGAAGAAGATTGAGATTTTTTTCGAAATTTTGAAGACTGAATGAGGAAAACGAAGTCGCGCCTTTAATTTTGTGTTGCGATAGAAATTACCGCCACTATCCGTCGCAAAATGAAATACAAACCGTAAAAATTAAAAAAATTATTGAAAATAACAAAAATAAATAAAATTAGTATATGCGGTGAAAATTTTTGTCGCATTCCATAACAAAATTTGAAAATAAATAAAATTAATAATTATGACAGAAATTTTCGTCGTACTCCGTAGCAAATTTTGAAAATAAATAAAATTAATAATTGCGACGGAAATTTTCGTCGCATTCCGTCGTATATTAAATTTTTCATCGCAAAAAATGTTTGTTGTTGTGACGGCAAAATTATTATCGTAAATTACGACAGATTTTGTGAGTGTTTGCAATGCAAATTTTTTTTCTGCATTCCGTCGCAATTTTGTATATGACGGAAATTGTCGTTGCAAGTTCTCTCGTTATATGAATGATTTTTTTGTAGTGCCAAGATATAACATGGGGAGGGGATTATTATCTCCGGAAACACTCAGACACCTCTTTCAAACGACATTACTCCACCGCACAGAATGGCAAAAAATCTCTTCGACAGAGCCAGAGGTCTCGTGGAGCGGGATCATTTGGTTCAAACAGACTATCCCAAGGTACTATTTTGTACAATGGCTTACTTTTCACAGACTCTTACCGACAAGAGATAGACTATTGCGACGGAGAGTTACAACCGACAATATTTGTGCGTTGTGTCAAGAGGAGAAAGTGTTCGATCCTTTATGGCGGGGAGGAAAGTAATTTCTGGGCTAATTTGGTTCATATACAAAGGTTGCTCCCGAATCAGAGGTTTACCTAGCCAGCACCGAACGGTAGCAGTAAGAGGTCGTCCATTATCAAAAAACAAAAAGGAGGAAGAATCACATCTTCATCTATTTTTTGACTGCCATGCGAGCAGAAGTATTTGGGTCCACTTTGCTAGGATGTGTTGGACGAACCCACCTACGCCACTGGCTGATTGTAACAACGGGATACAACATAGGATACCGGACAACATCTATGGCAAGAAGGTAATTGGCAAGATGGTTCTGCAAAGCTGTCGTGGGAGGAAAGAAACATTAGAATTTTAAGGAATCTGAGTCACTCAGTGGAGGAAAGATTGACCGAAGAATTAGAAATGCCATCTTGTCTTTGGAACACAGAGCAGGGGACCGAGATGACCCATCCCTCACGGACTGGTTCTATCTATCGACCAACTGAACGAGCAAGTGCGCGTTTGAACTTCATGTTTGTATTGGGAAGGTCTTTTTCCATCTTATTGGATCTGTTTCTTTGGAAGGAATTCGACGATTAATCGAACGCAAACTTTTTTTGCCCGGTTTTATAATATTTACATCTTACCAAAAAAAAAAAATTGTTCCTTCGACAACCATAAGTCTCCGCCACAATATGTGAATGGCCTTTACTTTTTCTTTTTTATATTTTTTATTTACTTTACTTCGTTTTTTGCCGATGTGAAGCTACGTGGATTCGATAATTCTTTTCGTGTGTCCCAAGTAAAAATGTTATTCCACTCTGAATTACGATTATTATACTCAAAGAGACATTGGGATGTTTTACTCGCTTGGGATTCAACAGTCGCAACGTTCTTATCGATTGAAATATATTTGGTTTTGGATTCCAAAACATAGAATTGAAAACGTTACATATTGCATGGTTTTTCATTCATTTTTTTCTATTTACAAATTTTTTTTAATGCACATCCACATAAAGAAAACAAATCTGGCTTACAAAGAGAGATGGAATCCAATTTTCAGAGGAAAAAAAACACACACACACACACGCTCTCCCATAGACAAAGCAAAGCATATTTTGGTCTATCAAGACATTTACATAACAACGAAAACCTAGTGGAACCACTTCATTAATGAGCCATGAAAACAGTAGATTTCTTCTTCTCCTTTTCCTCTTTCAAATGGGCCAACATGGTTGTAATGGTCGTTGCTGTTTTTATAAATTTCGTATCTGGTATATATATATATAATATTTTTCATGGAGCTTCTGTTTCATGCTTTATTAAAACTTTGGGGTTATATTGTTATTTGTCGAATTCGTTTACGTTTTACGTGATATATGATTTTTGTAATTTTCCGTTTATTGGTACAGGAGTGGAAGCAAGCATCGGCGTGAATTACGGCACATTAGCAAACAACCTCCAGCCGCCGAGGCAAGTGGCGGAGTTCCTCCTCCGGTCCACCGTCATCAACCGTGTTCGCCTCTTCGATACCGATCCCCAAATCCTCCGATCATTCTCCGGCACCGGCATCGCCACCTCCGTCACCGTCCCCAATGACCTTATCCCCAACCTCACCAACCTCTCCTTCGCTCAGCAATGGCTCTCCCTCTCCATCCAACCCTTCTTCCCCTCCACCAACATCGTCCGCATCCTCGTCGGTAACGAGGTCTTGTCCACGGGAAACCGCCTCCTCATCGGAAACCTCGTCCCGGCTATGCAGTCCCTCCATACTGCCCTCGCCTCCGTCTCCCTCCACCGCCGCATACAGATCTCCACCCCTCACTCCCTCGGGATTCTCTCCAATTCCTCTCCTCCTTCCTCCGGCAAGTTCCGACAAGGCTACGACACTCACGTACTCAAGCCCCTCCTCAGCTTCCTCAAAGCTACGGATTCGCCGTTCATGGTGAATCCCTACCCGTTCTTCGGATGTTCTTCCGATACGCTCGATCTGGCACTGTTTCGGCCGAATCCGGGATTATTCGACGAGGATTCAAAGCTCTTGTACACGAATATGCTCGATGCGCAGCTTGATTCCGTGTATTCCGCGCTGGATCGCCTAGGGTTTCCAGACGTCGAGATCGTGATCGGCGAGACCGGCTGGCCATCGGCAGGCGACGACGGTCAGATCGGAGCTGATCCGGAGACGGCCGCCGAATACAACAAGAACCTTCTAGCGCGTGTGAATTCCGGCGTGGGGACGCCGTTAATGCCGAATCGGACGTTCGAGACCTACATCTTCGCGCTCTTCAACGAAGATCTGAAATCGGGACCAACGTGCGAGCGTAATTTTGGGCTGTTCAGACCGGATATGACGCCGGTTTACGACATTGGGATTCTCCGGCCAACGGCACCCCCGCCGCAGCCCCCGCCGCCTCCGGCGATGATCACCGTCGTGTTTTATACTGTTTGTTATCAGTCGCAGTTGGCCTTCTATTCATTCCTTATTTACACGGTGAAAATCATCGTTTTTTTCATCAAATTATTTCTCTTTTTCCCATTCTTATTTTTTATTTAAAAACATCTAGCCCTTCCAAACGAATCGCCCGACTTTTTAGAATGACCAAATTCTTTGAAATTTTTTTTTGTCTTTGTTAAGATATCTGAATATTAATTTCAGATTTTCCTCGAAAAGTATTTTTTTATGTAAAAAAGTATATTTTTTTTGTAACTAAAAATTATATTTTTTATTTCCAAATGGTTTTCTGTTCATGGACTTTTTTTTATGCAACCGAAAATGTTCTTTACAAATACAAAATATACTGTTTCCCAAAATTCACATTGAACGTGTTCATAAACAAGGGATATACATATCTATATATATTAATTGTAACCAAACAACCTTTTTTTCCTCCAATTTTCACAACACGAATATCCTAATTTTTTCCCTAAAATATGTGTCCTTTACAGGCTAGGTCATCGAATCCGAATGACAGCCCTTGGAATTCGCCGCCGCCGTCAGAGTCGACCGGAAAACGGTGGTGCGTCGCGAAATCGGAAGCTGAACCGGCGGATATACAAAGGAACATCGACTACGTATGTGGGTTGGGCCTAGACTGTAGGCCCAGTAAAGAAAATGGGCCGTGCTTTGATCCGGATGTGGTCCAAGCCCATTCTGCTTACGCCATGAATTTGTTCTACCACACCATGGGGAAGCACGATTTCGACTGCGATTTTACCAAACCGGGGTTATAACTTATAACCGACGTCAACCTTGGTATGTTATCATCTGCTTACGATGAAAACAAACAAGTTTTTATTTTAGTTTGAATCTTTAATTTACCTGCATTGATATATGTGTTACGTATCAATGCAGGTTATGGAGAATGCCATTATCAAGGTTGATTGGGGAATTTTAGGACCCGAATGATGAGTGCCGTGTTGGTCGTGTTATCTCATATCTTCATTTTTTGCTTACGATTATTTTTTCAATTTCACATCAAAATTTTTCTACCTCAACAACTTTCAGGATACATAATAAAATCATATGTTCTATATACCATTAGAAATATAATTTTAATAGACAAAATATAAAATTACGATAACAATATAGAAAGTTATGACTAAAACAATATAACTATAAAAACATAACCTTTCAAAATCGAATTTTAAAAAATCATTCTAATCCATGATAAATCGTGTCTACTTTCGTTATCTATGGTTGAATAGATGTAACTTTTCCAAGATAGGATATGCGTACTTTTATTTCACTCCACTATTTTGTCAGATGTAACTTCCCAAGATAGGATATGCGTACTTATATTTCACTCCGCTACTTTGTCAGACATAACTTCCTAAGTTACATGTGTGTATTGTGTATATAAAAATGTATGTATATAATTATATATCTATGTGTGTATACTTGAATTATTGAATATGTATATGTGTATCTGAAATGTGTATATGTATATATGTTTACATATATGTGAATGTGTGTGTGCGTATGTTGTGTTTATGTATGTGTGTGAATGTGTATGTATGTGAATGTGAATGCAAAATTGAATATGTATCTGTATGCATATTTGTATATGTATATATATATATATGTATGTGAATATGTATATATATGCAAATGTGTATGTGTAAATGAGTGTGAATGTGTGTAAATATGAATATGTGTATGTGTGTGTATATATATACAATGTAATATATAAGAAATTTTTTTAAAAAATAAAACTAAAAAAACAATTGCGGCGAAAAATCTGTCACTTTTCATCGCAATTGCGATAGATTTTTTTCCATTACAATTTAGACGAATTAATGGTCGACAAACATTTTATGATAGTATTGTACGGGCGGTTTTTGTGTCGGCATATTCCGTCGTAAATTGTTAGTTAGCGACGGATTTCTTTCGTGATAGATGGTATTTCTTGTAGTGTATTGCTGCATAGGATTGTAGTCAACAAAATGACGGCGAAAGGGACAAAAACATTCTTCGTCATTTACATAATCAAGCGTTCAATGAGAATGAAGCCTACAAACACGTTATCACAAAAAAAAAAAAGCCTACAAACACACTTCTGTTCTTCTTCCATATAATCTGTACTTCACATTCAAGATATAAGGGAAGGAAGCTACGTATTCATTGCAAGAGATAGCGTTCTCTTCTCTCTGTCAATTCCAAAAAAGAGTAATTCAGAGTCTGGTAAATTTCTACTTTTGAAATGTGGATTGAAACTCCCTCGGTTCAATTAATCCGGTTTAAATAAAACTCATCTGATGAACCGGTTCAAAACCGGCTCAATTAATTATAAAAAAAAAACTCTAAAAATTCTTCAACTTGTAATTTGTATTAATATTAATTCATGAACATGTTAAATCCTGAACTTGTTTAACGGTTTCATAATCGTCCATAACGTTATTTGGTCAAAAAAACGAGTTGACCGATCCGACTTGACGCGTGATGTGGCGAGCCAACTCAGAAAATTACTGCCACGTATATAATTTTCGGTTCTTCGAGAAACCGACTTTAATCAAACGTAGTGACCAGTAAATCGGGTCTCCTTTCAACGAGCCAACCTCGGTGCTCGACCTCCGTGGAAGCCTCGGTCCCGCCATCATCGCCGATAAGCCTTCAGTTGCCGTTGCGGAGGAGGTATCCGGTGGAGGACGAACTCGATCTGAGACCGGATTTTTAGATCCACCGCAAACAGAGAGAGATCCCCCGCTAACGGATTTTTAGATCCACCGCCTCGACAACGTAATCTTCCGACACCACAACGACGTGACTTTCAGAAATCCATCGCTAACGGATGATTTCTCGGCGATCTCTGTGATACTCGTATCCCTCTTTCCGTAAACAGGATGCGCCACATGGACTAAAACCAATAAAATAATACAAACAAAAAATACAGGAATTTTAAAACTTTTTAAACATAAACATGCAACCGAAATACAACACGTGCGATCATAGTCGCAAAACCAACATATGTCCGAATTGTAAATAATACACAGTACAAAATATGGAAATACAAATCTCGTAGTCCAAAACATATGAAAAAGGAAAACCCCATATGTGATGTTGTCTCCTCGAAGTCGTCATCGCCCGAATGCGCTACACGTGCTCCTCGTGATCTGAAAAAGATGAAACCACGAGGGCTAAGCATAACCGCTTAGTGAGTAGCCCGAGTTGAACCCGGTAAACCCGTCCTCAGCGAGAACGGTGTTAAAACGATAGTTTACATACACATGGAACAATAATCAACATACATCATCACATAAACGTGCATCACAAATATAGCAATCGCAATCACACCTGGATGGAGTCCACCATAGGGCTAGCCATAAATCCTAGTCAAGTCAGCATGACTAGGGGCGCATCACACGTCCGTCACTCGCATGACGTTGGCCATCGCATCGCACGACAATATCACCTCAAGCGCTTGTCACATCACGTGATTACCGATGTTAAGTCCATGACACAACTGAAATGTAAACACATCCGTATGGATTCCACCATAGGGTTTAGCCATAACCCTAGTCAAGTCAGCATGACTAGGAGCGCGTCACACGCTCGTCAAGCCCATGACGTTGGTCGTCGCATCACATACGACTATATCACAATCACAATCACACTCCTCTCGTAATGTACGAGTGAGCTTCAACCATAGCATTCAACATGCATCATCATTCCCCGGCTACAATCACGCATATCACGGTATCCGGCCTCACACCGACTTACCGTCCCATGCCATGCAATACTACCCAAAAATAAGCACACTACGATTCAATTGCAGTGTTTATTCTTGTATTCATTCAGTTTGTTCATTTTATCTTCTCTTTCCTCTCAAGTTTGGTCTGGTCCGGACCGGAATTCGGTCCGGCAGACTGGATCCGGTATATCCCCGCGAAACTGGCTGATTGGACCATTTTCTGGTCCAAAACAGATCTGGTCCGCCGGACTAGTTTCTGGTCTGGGTCAGACCAGGCTTCCTCAACCTCTTCTCTTTGGTCTAGCGGACTAAAAAGAATTCTCTGAGTTGGTCCGGAGCTGACCAGTTCCTGGTCTGGCGGACCGAAACTGGGCAGTTCGTCCGTTCGCGTTTTCATGTTTTTGGTCCGACTTCGATTGCTCATAACTCACTCATTTCTTAACCAAATTGCGCACCGTTTGTTTCTAAATGTTCATTGAGATGTCCTCTTTCATATTTCATGGATTATTATACACGATGAAAAATGATTCGTAACTGCTATACCTCCTAAATCTCGCGATTATGCGAATTCTGGTTTTTCCCAATTTTCATTTATTCATATCTCCCTCATTTCTGAACCAAATTGAGTACCGTTTGTTGCTAAATCTTCGTTGAAATGCCCTCTATCCAATACAATCAGCAAATCATCGAGATAACACAATCACATCGATGAAAATGAGTTTACACTGATACAATTCAAGCCACTCACCTTTGCTCATATTTAGATTTGATTTCGGCCGGAGTTGATGGCGGTTTCCGGCAATTCAAACCTCGGAGATTCTTCCAGACGTTCTAGGACTGACCCCCTTTGTTTTCCCCAGCTCCTTTCTCCTCCCCCTCTCTCTTTCTCCTTCTTTCTCTCCCTCTCCTCTCTTTTTCCTCTGCAGCAGAAATGGCTGCGTCCCCTACTTTGCTAGGGTTTTCGGACGAGCAGTAGAGCTCGAAAGGGCTCAAACAAAGGCCCAAGTCCAAGCCTGTAACAAAGGTCATGGGAGGTCGAATCGCGTCGAGAGGGGCCGGGACAGGCTGGTAGATCGCACTCAAAACGGCTACTGTGCGAGCATGTGCTGGCAAAATTTGCACTGTCGGTTCGCCAAACTAGGGGTGGGTGTTTCGGGAAACGGTTCGAGTTCAAAAAAGGACGGGAAAGGATCGGTTCGATCCTTTCGGTTTTATAAAAATAGGTACCAATCAGTTTTTATATTGTATTCGGTTCGGTTCGGTTTCGGTATCGGTTCGGTTCGGTTCCGGGTTTTATTAAAAAAAATGATAGATTTCCTTTAAAAATATTCGATTTTTCGGGATTTTTAAAGTTCGGTTCGGTTCCGAAAAAATTCGGTTCTCTAAAAATGGTACCGTTCGGGAATTAAGAACGGTTTCGGGTCGAAAAAAGTACCGTTTTTTCGGTTCAGTTTGGTCCGGTTCTGAAGAACCGAACCGAAACGCCCAGCCCTACGCCAAACCAAGAACTTGGTCCGCCGGACTGGCTGACCAAAACAGATTTTTGCTCCGTTGACGTCCGCTTCGGTCCGACTGAGTGTTCTGATCTGGCTGACCACATTTGATCAGCTCCAGACCAGACTACCTTTCTTCCTCTCGGTCCGTTCCTTTGGTCCGATGTGGTACTTTCTCTCGGATTGACTTCTGGTCCGGTGGACTGACTTCTGGTCAGCCCCATACCAGCCTTCCATTTCTTCTTTTGGTCCGCCTCTTCTTCCCTAAGGTCTATCTGACGGGCTGAGTAGGTTGGTCCGACCCTGACCAGATTTTGGTCTGATGGATCAACTTCACTTTTCCAAAGTTTTCGTCTTTTTCCGGTCTGTTCCTCCACGTCTTGGTCCGACGATCCGACCCTGGTCCGGCTGACCAGTTCCTGGTCAGGTCCAGACTGAAGATAAATTTAACATTCTTCTTCACTTATTTTTCGATCCTTTTGACGTTTTCTGGCTTCGTACTCTTTTCCATATTATTATTATTATTATTTTCACTCTTATTCCCGAATTATTTATACAAATTTATTTTATTATTTATTCTCGAAAATAATTAGATATTCACTTTGGGATCCGGGGTGTTACAATCTCTCTCATGAGCAACGCGTATTGACCGTCGAATCCGCTGGAAAAATAAAGTAAACTTCAGACAACCCGAAATCCACCGGATCGAGCTGGTCGGGAAAATCAGGAAGCTAAGAATCGACGCCGTAATGTGTCGGAATGGCGACAATGGTGAAACCGGTGGTCCCTCCTCCACCGGATACCTCCTCCGCAACGGC